ACGGCGCCCTTTCCATCCAAAGAGGTGCTCAACTGACAGGGTCAATATGAATAATATAATATATAAAAAGGATCCGGGTTTGTCATACCAGGGGTTGACAACATACCAGTAAAAAGGATCCGGGTTTGTCATACCAGGGGTTGACAACATACCAGTCCAACTACTGCAGGTTGCCATAGGTTCCCTATCTTCAATATTTTGTTTGAAAAAATCTGAAATGCAACCAATGGGACAAGGCTATCTTGATCCTGTTTGCGGAGGGACCAGAATTCTGCCAAGAATGCGCTGATCTCCTTGGCGGTGTACTGGGTGAAGCAATGCTTCCGAGCACCTGATGTTTCCCATTACAAAATGGAAATGGCATCTCCTTTACCAGATTGGGGTGGGATGTACAACCACAAAAACTTGCGTATTACATTTGACATAATAATACACTATTTTGTGCCAATATATCCCCAATCTCTACATTAACAGGATGTAAAGAAAATGGTTGGCTAATTTTGCACTGGGTTGCACAAACAGATGTCCTTGGAGAGTATCTGCAGAATCCGTTTCTCAGAAACACCATTCTTCTTGAACTGCCCCCCTTTCCGCACGTAAGCAGCCTTCTCTGCGCGCTGCTTGTTGTCATAGGGCCTCTTTTGTTGGACTTGCCTCCCTGCTTGAGAAGCATCGCGTGTCAGGTTAGCTTTGCAAGTACGGGTCAACTCGTGCCACCCCAAACAGAAAACAGAGGGCCCCGGCGGTTCTGAACCTGTAGAGGTATCTGAATCTGACTGTTCTTCAGGTTCATGGCTAAGAATCATTCCTAAGCGTTTGTCTACATGATTGGATCTGTGAGGGCAATGACCTTCTTCAGGCTCTCGTTGAAAAACAGCAGGCTTTTTTGGTTTTCTTCCCTTAGGTTTGCCTCAGGGTCAAACAGTATGTCAAACCATTCAATCAAGAAAAAACAATGAAGATATCCCTTGATTTACGGAATGTCTTGGATTGGGGACATAGAGCATGCAAAACAACAGTCTTTGAACATTTGGAACACTGGAATTTGGAAAGTTGGATGGAAACCAGGCTGGCCTGGTTCCTCAGGTTCTGCTTGGAAAAGTCTCTTAGCAGCCTTTTTTGGAATTGGACAGCTCCGCTCCGGCCCCTCCGGAGCAAAGAGTCTCATGAGGATCCATCCGCATAAAGTAAAGACTTGAAAGTTAACATTTGATTTCCAACTCTCAAAAAGATGGTGATGTTTCTCGCGGATGAAGTTTGATATGGTCTGATGTTGTTGCTCACTGATTTATTCAACACTTGGAGCGGTCTGTGACTATGTGCCAAATGGCTTCGGGAACCAATCAAAATCCCTGCGTTAGTTGCCACAATCCTGGTGCTTCACGATCCAAGCACCCCGGCTCTGTCAGGCGCCACCCACTGCGGCAGGCTGCCTGCAAAGAGGAGCAATGGTATTAGACCGGGTTTGGGTATTGTTTATGATATTAGTTCATAGCATACAATCCATCTTTAGACACCATATTGCTTCTGTTGTGACTTAGCAAGTGCTGATGACAAATGATTCTAATGTTTAAGAATATTTTTGAACATGGTGGCTTGTGTACTATGTAGATGCCCTAGGCCTATGCGTCCATATTATAATATTATGTTGTGATTATGTTTTCATTCTGTGTGCGTCAGTGTGTTAGTTAATTAGTTATTAGTTAGTGTTGCTGTGCAATGTGTTTCTATGAAGTGTGTCTTGGGACATACAACTTGTAAATGCCTCGCGGTTGCTTCTCATACACATGTGGGACATGTGACTCCAAGAAATTTGCTGGTCTTGATATTGAACCATGTATTTCTCACCAAATTGTGAATGATGTTTACTAAAGGGTATGTTTTAGTAAGATGCTTGGTTCGGATTGCCTTTGCAGGATTGTTTAGGCCCCATTTCAAACTCACACAGTACTTGTTTTGCCACGCACCTTTGATATCCTTTGATCACCGAGAGTTTTCACTGCTCAATTGGCAGTGCGCAAAGCGTAGAGCACAGAAGTGCCCATCCGATGTTAGGCAGGAACATTCCATTCCCAGAAAACTTGGTGAGAGCTGATTCTGGGATCTCATTGAACACATCTTCATGATTTTCAATTGGGTAAAGCAAGGTCTTGAGTTTCTCTTTGCCTGACATGCAACGTCCCAAAGTTTCAGACCATAAAAAAGTCGAACTTGTTGCAAGGCACAAAAGGTCCCCATTCTTCAAATCAGTCCGGGCACGTGCAATGGACTGACTAAGATCATACATGTCCTTCTCTGGAAAGGACTTGCGATAGCGCTTCAAACTTCCCTTCATCGACCTCGTGTAGCAGGTGGATGGTGGATGTTGGGTCGTTAACGTTGTTCAATCAAGACATAAAAAAATATGTAGCAGTTGAAATTTGATAACGGATGTGATATCAATGATTATTAAGTCACAAGTCATATCAATAATCGTTTTGACGTTTTATTTCAATGAAACCAAGATACCACTTAATGATTATGGAAACCAAAAGGTTTATATGACAAGTTGATAATGAGACCAAAATACAGTGGCAATCCATTCTCGAAGAGGTCCTTCGGGGGATCCTTTTCCAGTGCGAAGCATTGAGGTCCCATGGTTGAATTTGTCTTCGCCGGTGCTAGGATTTGTTCTGTCAAGACTTGGAAGTTCTGATCCTAAGCCCCCAGGAGTGTTGGGAGAAACAAAAATTCAAGATCGAGAAACATACTAAGATGAATGATGAGTGAAATATACCTAAGATGAAACATTGAGAAACATAATTATGAGAGATCTGTGCCCAAGAGTCTGCCTGCCATTCCCGTTTGCTTGGTTTCCACGTGAGCCTGTACTCACGAGGCCTGGAGCTGGGGCTGCCAAACTGTTGAGGGCAAAGCCTGGGCTGCACAACCAGGCGTGGACAAAACGGGCTGGCTGCTAGATAAAGAGGTTGGGGGGCACACACAAATTAAAACATACCTCGGGTTTATTCAAAGAAAAGTTGCTCAGCCATGTCGATACAATGAGTGCAGTTCTTCTCTAGGTGGGTACCATCATAGCCCTTGACATTCTCATGCACTGCTGCATCAGCCGCGTTCATGATTGCAGTGGCCACCGCGTGACATTGAGCTTCAGCAATGTTTTTGAAACCCTTGCGTGAACCCAACCTCGCATTGGGATAGCCCCGCTGGTTTGATATGATGGAAATTTGATATGATTTGCATCCCTTGCTTGAATTGAAAATAAAGCGACATCAAGACAAAAACAACCAAATACAATTGCTACTCAACAGCAAGATGCTTGCTGAAGAGGACGCATGGGGCCCCCAAAGTAACTGCAAGATCATTGAAGTCTGGCAAGTCACATTCTTTTCCATGAGCTAGGCAGTGAGCGCGGGCTCGAAATTTAATCTTCTTGGGATCCAGAAGCTTTTTCTGTGGAACCTTGTCCCCATTCTTGATGAGATCAAAAATGTTTCCAAACAAACAACAATCCGGGTAGAGGGAGAGGATCACCTTCTGACACTGTTTGTTGTTCTCAACCTGGTTATTGCGGAAAGGCTATATAAACACAAAACATATTTTCAGTTTGTGGGCTGGCAAAATGAACCACAGAAAATCAAACTAAACCAAAAACTACAACAATTACTCAGCTTTGCTGGGAGACAGCACATACGAACCGCACCCCAGTCTCAACTGCCCAAAGATCCCACGCTGCCTGACTGATGCTCTCCCATGCTTTCCGCGGGCATTCCACACCCGAAAACAAGGTGCAAATGCGTTGTTCGCGCGCAAGCTGCTGCTTCACATGCTCTTCCCCAAAGTATTGCGCACAACGCTTCAAAGTAGTAGTGGCCCAGTTCCTTTAATTCATGGTATTTCCCATTTTGGGATTTCAAGGTGATAGAAAACATGTTTTTTTTACTTGAATTTCCGTTGGGTTATTGTGGAAACAACAAATTCTATAATCATGTTCTTGAGGCAAGAGTCTCCAAGTCTTGCAATGTCTCCGGAAGTGGAAACGAGTCCCTTAGATCCATGGAACCCAACCCGCTTCATACAAGAAGAACAACAAAGAAAAAAACAAGCACAAAAGAACCCTCAACCCTTTTGATCTTGAAGTCTAGTTGCATTGAATTGTCATCCTTTTCTAACTCTTCTGGATTGAGATGATCTTCTTCCTCAGCCTGCTCCATCTTTGTGTCTTTTACATTGGGTTGGGCAGGCCTTTTCAAAACTTTCTTCCCTCTTGACGAGGCAGGCCTTTTCATAGCTGGTCTCTTTTTGGGCTCTTTGAGCGGGGGCTCCTCCATGAGCGGGGACTCCTCTATGAGGTCCTCTGTGGCTATGAGCGGGGAATCCTCTGACTCTATGGGGTCCTCTGTGGGCTGGGGCTGCTTCTTGGTCTTGGGTTCAGAGTTTGGTTTGGCTTTTGCTTTCCCTCTAGCTTTCGGTGCCCCTTTTTTTTTGGGAGTGGCTACATGAGGCTTCCCGTAGATTGCATACAACTTGTTGTTCGTGGGCTTCGGGGATGATGACGCAGCGGCGTCCTTTGCACCACCCGCTGATGCTGACGCACTTGCTGTCCTATGCCCACTGCTCGCTGCTGCTGACGGCCCACTGCTCGCTGCTGCTGACGCACTGCCAGCTGCATTCACTGAACTTGAACTAGGCAGCTGCACTGACTGCGAGGCTGCCAATGCAGATGCTCTAGCATTGCGCTGTGCCAACAACTGCGCCAAGTTTTGAACCATTTCGATTGGATCTGAAACGGCTTTGTGCATGGGATTGGATTTTGATACGTGAACTTTGATACAGCCCCTCATAATTATTCAGATACTTAGTATGATGATCTGATGTTTGATTTTGATTACATAATTATATACTATAACTAAAATATATACATAATAACTATAATTATATCATGAGAATCCGATACTTTATTCATCAGCCACCACGGCCACCTCCGACCACAGGCTGGCCTTCACGTGGCGGCAGAAGAAGGGTGGTGGCGGCAGCAGCCGCAGTAGCAGCAGAAGCCGCTGCAACGGAGGGGGGGAACCTAGTGGAACATATTATATAATATATATATGGATATCTACTGGGTCCACTTACCTTAGAATTAGCCTCAGTTACCTCGAAAGTAACATCTATTCTATAATAATTCTTATTCCAATCTAATCTAATCTAATCTACCTAATCTAATCTAATCTAACCTAATCTAATTCTTCTAATCTTATATTTCTCATCTAATCTAATCCAATCTAATCTAATGATAACATATCATATCATATCATATCATATCTATCCAACTAATCTAATCTAACCTAACCTAATCTAATCTAATCTATCTCATCTAATCTAATTTAATCTACCTAAACTAATCTAATCTAATCAAATATAATTCTAATCTCATCTCATCTATATAGTCTAACCTAATCTAATCTACCTAACCTACTCTAATTCTAATCTAGTTAAATCTATCTAATCTAATCTAATCTACCTAATCTAATCTAATCTAATCTAATCTACCTAATCTAATCTGATCTACTCTACCTAATCTAATCTAATCTAATCTAATCTAATCTAATCTAATCTACCTAATCTACCTAATCTAGTCCAATTCTAATCTAATCTAATCTACCTAATCTAATCTGATCTACTCTACCTAATCTAATCTAATCTAATCTAATCTAATCTAATCCACTCAGTGACAGCTAGTTTCCCCCAAACCGTTGCCGTCTTTCCTCTCTGACCTTTTCAGGCGCTTGTCACTCACCGCTTTTGTTTTTGACGACTGCATGGAGAACGACACTTGGGTGATGTGAGATCGGCATCGTACTGGTGAATCTAAAGCTGGTTTCGACCTACGAAACCCGAAACCCGAAACGGACAGCTAAAGTTAGCTTCAATCGACAAAACCCGAAACCCGAAACCCGAATCCCGAAACCGACAGCGAAAGTTGGTTTCAGGCGACGAAACCCGAAAAACCCGAAAAACCGACAGCGAAAGTTGGTTTCAAGCGACGAAACCCGAAACCCGAAATCGATCGACAAAAACCCGAAACCCGAAACCCGAAACCGACAGCGAAAGTTGGTTTCAAGCGACGAAACCCGAAACCCGAAACCCGAAACCGACAGCGAAAGTGGGTTTCAATCGACGAAACCCGAAACCCGAAACCCGAAATCCGAAACCGACAGCGAAAGTGGGTTTCAATCGACGAAACCCGAAACCCGAACCCCGAAACCGACAGCAAAAGTGGGTTTCAATCGACGAAACCCGAAACCCGAAACCGGAAACCCGAAACCCGAAACCGACAGCGAAAGTTGGTTTCAAGCGACGAAACCCGAAACCCGAAACCGACAGCGAAAGTGGGTTTCAATCGACGAAACCCGAAACCCGAAACCCGAAACCGACTCGAATCCGACTTTTGGGTGGCTCTCCGGATCGGAACTCACCTTTTGGGCCAGAACCTTCAAGTCCCCTACTTTGGAGGACTGCTCAGCTGCGAAGCATTTTCTTTTGCCACTTGGCAAAGCTATGTTGATTTTAAGCATTGTTGCACGATGTTGCACGAAAAAGATTAATCGTACCTTGAGCCGACACTAGACATCGCGGACAGGGCACATAGAAGAGGCCATGGGAAGATTTCTTGAAAAAATATGGCATGGGTGTCAAATAGGTACATGCTCACAAAATGGAAAGACACGTTTGCACAAATTGCAAACAAATGGAACATTGCATATACATCTATGATGCTAAGTATACATTTACGGTGCTACACTGTGAACATTTTTATCATATATTATCATATAGAAGTTTCAGTTTGAGCTTGAACTAATTTAAACCTAATTTAAACCATCAACGGCATCCCATTCACGATGCTTTCCGTGACCTTCCTCATCCCCACCAGGGCCTGTTCGAGCTGCTTCCATCGCGCAAATGGAGATGGAGGCATCATTAAGGCGATGCACATCACATTCACCTGGACTTTCAGAGGATGTGGGATACTCAATGGAAAGTCACAATATGTCACAATCCATTCATGTTCCAAAGCACCAACCAGATATATCCAGATATACATTCATAAATCACCATTTTCCCATGGGTTTCCCATGGTTTTCCCATGGTTTTCCCATGGTTTTCCCATGGTTTTCCCATGGTTTTCCCAAACTAATCATTCACAAACCACTGAGTGGGCCCATCACGCCAGCGCCTGCCGGTACCGCGGAGCATAGATCCGGCAAAGGCGGTTGAAGGGCGCCGCGCCCGCCGCCACCCGCAGGTCGGTCTGAGGCGAAGGGGGACTGAAAAGCCATAGGAAAACCATGGAAAAACCCATAGGAAAACCTTGGAATGTCCAGGTCAAAAGCTTAAGTTCTAGAAATTGGAGGAAAATTCTCGGATCATACTTCAAATGCTCATCCATTGAAACAATAGATTCTTCCCTTGGTCGGGTGAATCCATCCGATCAAAGGGTCACCCTTTGGATTGTTGGCATCCCATGGCATCCCAGTGGCATGATATGTTTTGTGTTGAGCCATGAAGCATTGGGCAAACACCTTCAGGGAGAAAGTCAAGTCATAGTTTCTCACTTTTTCTGGTGCCTTGTGACTAACACCAATCAGTTGAGCAAACCAGGCAAACAAAGTTTGTTCTACTGGGAGTTGTAGGGCGGTCGCATTATCTCCTAAAACGATGACTTTTGAGAAGATAAATTGAATGGGCAATCTCAGCCCTCAGTCTCCTACTAAAGTTCAAACTACAGATCTGAGTGATCTATGGACATCGGTGGAAATCCTAGATTTCCACCATTTCACAGTCTCACTTCACTACCTGTACGTCAATGGAATTTGGATTGTCGCTATCATCCTGGCATCATTTACGATCGACCTTGCGGACACCGGTGATGGCATGGATATGAAAAAGAAACACATGTTTGCTGGAATCCTCAACATCCACAACCTACATTATCATACATTACCAACATTGATCAGAAAGTTTGTCAATTGCGTACATGACTGGGTCATTCAATACCTCGTTGTACTTTCGAGCGGTGCCTTTACCAGTATCAAACGGGCTTTTAAATGTGTCCAGCTGGTGAAATCCCACTGATAAGTAACGGATTATACTGCCGTTCAAATTTAGTTAAACCCATTTTCACCCCAGCACTACAGAAATTGTATTATATTCCAACCACATCTGGCACCGGGCGCACCATTGTCGACAGCGGAGTGCATCCCGACTAGCAAGTGGTCAATAAGCGTTATCAACTCAGATATTGTTTGTTTTGTAGGGATATATTCCATGGGTTTCTTTGAACACGTGGTAATTTCATGTAATTTCCCCATTCCAACGGGGGCCATACATGGCCATACCTCGTTTTCAAACCCAAGTGGATGGCTGGGTGACTTGTTCATTGATCTTTGACACCAACTCTGCAGGCTCTCGAAGTGGCGCGTTCCATCCTCGGGGTGAGACCACCGGCCACCACGACCGGCACGGATGCCATCACCGGGACCCGGTGGTTTTAGGGGATCTGAAAATTCCTGGTTGTTGATCCCCTGGAGTAAGTTTAAACTTACTGGTAAACGGTGATTTTCCATTAATAGCATGGTGATTTACTGGTGGTTTAATGGGATCTAATGGGATTTAATGGGATTTATCGTGATTTACCTTCTGGTAAACGTTTACTAAGAACTACGGAACATCACCATGCTATTAATGGGAAAACTCACTATTTCGACTGGGCCATTTTCTATGTCGCAAACTGTTTGTCTACCAGAGGGTAACTTTTAGTCTTTTAGTTTGGGCATGTGGAAAATCAAAGTGTATTGCCATGTAAATAATCCATCCAGAATTGGTGCCTCCCAGTTAATATCAGTTATAACTTGGTTTATAAACCCAGTTCACTAGTTTGATCAATATCTACCATAAAGCCCAACAATGAGAAAATATTTTTATTTGCACATACTTTGAAACCAACTTAGCTAACAAACTGAGACATCCACCACCTTGTAGAATATATCAACTATTCTTTAAACATGTTTAAACAGAATTCTCACCTCAGAAAAAACCCAAGGCCGCCATTCTGGGAAGATTCCCCCAACTCCAAGCGACGTGGCGGCGTTCCGAAGGGCGAAGAGATCGCTGGAATCAGGGTGGAATCCTTTGCGAGGCCGCGGACATGGGCAGTGCGAAAAAAAACAGAGTAAAACCTCTTAGGAATTCTGGTTTAACCAAAAATGATCACTCCATCTATGGAATTTTGAGGGGTTCAGCATGGTTCAGCATTAGACTCGAAAAGCACCCCCAAGAATTTAGGGATAGTTTTGTGATTTAACCGGTCATCCGAATGACAAAAAGAGACCAACTTTGGTGGTCCATCCGTGCCCCAAGTTTGAGCCATGGGCGTGTGGATACATAGACATGGCCAATCTCAGATACTCAGCATTTGTTTTAGCTTGTTCATATCTATCTATCTATCTATCTATCTGTCCGTCTGTCTATCTATCTATCTATCGATCTATCGATCGATCTATCTGTCTATCTATCTATCTATCTGTCTATCTATCTATCTGTCTGTCTATCTATCTATCCATCCATCCATCTATCTATATATATATATACATATTTCTATGTATCGCAAAACAATATGAAGTTTTGAAGTACCCACCCAAGGGTAACCATGCATAGATCGTCTTATGAACCAAGGAGCGTGCACGAAGAAACAATCCTCAGGAAAGGTGGCTATCGGAGGACCAACAGAACTGATTGTCATATATAAATGGGTATAGGAACTGGGCCATTGCCAGACTTAGATATCCGCAAAAGTTATATGTTCTATATATAACCCCATATATTAGCTATATGTTTTAGCTAGATAGTATATCACCCCATCAAACGAGCCAACATAAACCATGAACCTACCATGCACCAGGTTTGATCCAGTGGCGTGGGCATGCAACACGTGTATATTCTGGGCTAGACATCTATAGACAGTATAGAACTTTAAACACAACATTCTAAACACAATGTTATCATACTCTATCATATTCCAACAATTTTATATGAATCTGGGTTGTTCCTGACCTAAAAAAAACATCAAAGAGGTAAACTTACAGAACATGTTCCAGCAACAGTGGCTATTAGTTTCCCCAAATTGGTTGGAGCTACCCTAAGGTATGACAACTCAAACATGACAAACAACATATTTTGAGATAATTCTATCATCCAAAAAAAACAAATCCAACACATCCAAATCATATTAAGCTACAAAACATGTAATGTGGGTAAACCAATTTCATAAACCATCCCCCAGTCATCACCCTTTTATTTGGTGGTATGGTTACCATCAACATATGGCTGGTTTATGACATTGTTTTACCCACAATAAAAAAATCTCTGGTAAACTAACATAGCTATTGAACATGGCCATGTATAGTGGATTTACCCATAAAAAATGGTGGATCTTTCCATAGCAAACTGTTAGTTTACCAGAGGGTAGGTACTGTAGCCTGAGCCTCTGTTTGTGCATGAATTTGCACTTGAAACTTCAATTTTGGTATTTGAAAAAGGGTTTTTTTTCGGTGATTTTCCATAGTTATGTAAACGTTTACTAGAGGGTAGTTCATCTTCCAAAATGCCAAGCGGCGTCAAGCCATGGTGGCTTTGCTGGTCATCTCATCCCGTCCCCGATGATATTCCAATTTTGATCCTGCTGAAAAACATCCCATAATGTTGGTAAAACAGCCATAAACCACCCATGTTGTTATGGTTTATATCACCCATAGAAATGGTGATTTAGGGAATGGTTTATGATTGTTTATATTGTTTCAGCCACATGATTCTTGATTTTATCCCCATTGTATCCCAACTTTGGCCATCTCGACTTTTCCGAATGGGTAAAACACTAAAACTATGGGGGAAAATATCTCATAGGGAGGATATACTGTGGATGGAAGAAATCCTGCACTACAGTCTTCTGAAACACTGTAAAATTACTTTACTTCGTGTGATCCCCACCATGACATTTATACATTTTGTTACTGGCAAATCTTCTGGCATTCTATCTGACATATTTTCTGGCATTCGATCTGGCATTCTATCTGGCATATCTTCTGGCATTCTACCTGGCATATCTTCTGGCAGATGTTCTGGCATATCTTCTGGCAGATGTTCTGGCATATCTTCTGGCATATTTTCTGGCATATGTTCTGGCATATCTTCTGGCATTCCATCTGGCATTCTATCTGGCATATCTTCTGGCATATTATCTGGCAAATCTTCTGGCATTCCATCTGGCATTCTATCTAGCATTTCTTCTGGCATATTATCTGGCAAATCTGCTGGCATTCTATCTGGCAAACATTCTGGCACTTTATCTGGCATATCTTCTGGCATTCTAGCTGACATTCTATCTGGCATTCTATCTGGCATACCTTCTGGCATTCTATCTGGCATATCTTCTAACATTCTATCTGGCATATCTTCTGGCACTCTATGTGGCATATCTTTTGGCGTGGATACTCGCGGTTGAGGTCCGGCAGGGAACACTTGGCATGGATACTCGCAGTTGAGGTCCGGCAGGGAACACTGGGCGTGGATGGTCGTGGTTGAGGTCCGGCAGGGAACACTGGGCGTGGATGGCCGTGGTTGAGGTCCGGCAGGGACCACTGGGCGCGGATGGTCGTGGTTGAGGTCCGGCAGGGAACACTGGGCGTGGATGGTCGTGGTTGAGGTCCGGCAGGGAACACTGGGCGTGGATGGTCGTGGTTGAGGTCCGACAGCGAACACTGTGGATCGCGAGTCGCAGTTGAGCAGGAGGACGAGGAGGACAACGAGAGGAGGAGGAGGAGGCGGAGGAGGAGGAGGAGGAGGCGGCAGGAGGAGGAGGAGGAGGACCAGGCAACTTAGATAAAATCTAACAACCCTCACCTGGCAGGTGGGGAAAAATGGGATTATCATGGGATAAATTATCTACAAACTGGTGCAGGATTTCTTCCATCCACAGTATCTCAAAATAGTGTAATATCGAGATGTTCTTTCTCATAATATCCCCAGGCCTAGGGCTACAAAAGTGCCATAATTGTATGACTTTTGGAGGGTCTAGGTTAACCATTTGTGCAGGGGTGGAAAAATGGGGTATACCTATGGATTCTAACCTCAATAAACAATGGTCATATGGGGCCCCTACAACTATGGCGCAATACACATAAGCTATCGTTTTCATAACATGAAATATAGCTATGCGTATAGCTGAGGAACACGTTCTATGGTTGGTTACATAACACGCAACAAACTTATTCATTGGATTGGTTTATGGGAAAATTTACAGGAACCCCCACATGGTGAAAACCATGGTTCCGGCTCAGATTTTCCCTTTCACCAATGCAATGTATATATGGAGGTGTCCTAAAATAGGGGTACCCCCAGTTCTCATCCATTTTAGTAGGCTTTTGCATGAAATCAACCATCCAGCTTGGGGTAACCCCATGACTATGGAAACCTCCATATAGTCTATATCTCCATATAGTCTATATCTCGATATAGTCTATATCTAGTTAATAGTGATTAATTAATAACTTATATCTAGTTATATAGTTGGCTTTATTACATGTTAATGGTCATCTGGCTGGTAGTCCCACTTTCTCTCCCAGCTTCACTCACTGAATCGCCAAGCATCGCAGGGCCGCAGCTTTGGCGGCACAATCGTCTCATCCGGGAGCTGGCGACACATGGATTGTCGCAGGGAGTGCTGTCGATTTAAGGGAATCAGCATCCAAAATGGGAATCTATCTACTGTATCATTGTGTCTATCTATCTATATCTATCTATCTATCTATCTACCTATCTATCTATCTATCTATCTATCTATCTATCTATCTATCTATCTATCTATCTATCACATATGATCATTCATATACACAGATTTCAAAATAGATGGCTCAACTCAAAAACCAAAATACCCATAAGATGGCACCGCGCGGTGAGGAAGAAAAAGGCGCTATTTTAGATGCGTGTTGATGTGTGAAGATGGTGTCTCCATAGATGCAAAAAGCATTGGACTTTTCTTGCATCTTCCCAGAGGCCGGATTTGATTCGTCTTGTAATCTGCTTCGCCCAATTACAGGGTGGTGCCCCATAGTTAGCTAAGTTGGTTTATATGTCCAACAACTATGGTTTATAGGTGATCTGGTTGTTGGTTTCAACCCCTCTGAAAAATATGAGTCAGTTGGGATGATGAAATTCCCAATATATGGAACAATAATCAATGTTCCAAACCACCAATCAGTGATATATCTATAGTTAACGAGATTATAACCCATTTACAACTGGTGGGGGCACCACTTCGTACAGTTCAACACATCCAAGTCTTCCACCGGCGCTCCGATCGTAGAAGACGTTCCAGGCTGGAGACTCCCACCATGACGAAACGGTCCAACGGTGGGGGGCTCCCTGGTAGTTCTCCAAGCATCTTGTTGCCGCTTCCATTCATTTTGCATTGGTATCTCAAAGGTCTCAAAGCCTAGCTCTAGAATCTGTCTTTAGCGTCCTAGTTCTATCTCTATGGCCAGGCTGAGATGACGCTCATTGGGATCATCATCAACCAAATGTTTAATCTTCATGGGCCTGAAAACAAGGTGAAAAGAGAGGGTGAAGGATTTTTTCAACATAAAAAACACAATGTGGGGGACAACTACTGAGTAAAACACAGAAATCTCTCGTGACCATGACCTTTTCTTTGAACACAAAACACTATTTCAAGATAGTTCACCACCAAATAACATATCTCAAACCCTTACAGTGAAACGTTGGAGACTCCTTCAGATGGAAAGCCCCAATTATCAATTTATAGAGCTATCTAATATGTATATATATATATATATATAAGATATATCTGGTTGGTGGTTTTAACCATCTTGAAAAAATATTAGAGCCAATGGAAAGGATTATCCCATATATGATGGAAAAATAAAAATTGTTCCAAACCACCAACCAGTATATATACATTATATTACACCATATACTTTTGAACCAGGTGGTAGTTGCTCAACATTCTAATGGAGGGGGGCTGTTTACTTTTAAACTTTGCAACATATTCATAGCCCATCAGAATTACACAACATTCCTGTACTTGGTTAAATTTGAGTACATTGTATTGCTAGATTTATGTACCGTCAATGTTACATGATCTTTGAAATCAAACAGTAGTATAAATCACTATATTAGATTAGAATCAGTATCAGTATCAATTGTTTTTTTTTGAATCAAATTGACACTGCATGCATTTTACAATAATTGTTCATTTTCCTTTCATTTAACAGGGTTGCTCCATCACCCCAGCTATAGAGGTCAATGTTCATCAAATTTCCTTCCCTCTATCATTGGCTATCATTTACCTACCATCCCTGGTGTTTAACGTCCAATAGTTATTGTCATTGTGATATCAAATGATGATATAGTGATATTCAATAGTTATAAAACCACTCCAATATACATTATATATCATTGTTATCCAATAGTTATATATCCAATAGTTATAATGATTGTGATATCCAATAGTTGTATATCATTGTTTTTTCCCGGACGTCCGCACGGCGGCCCGACCTTCAAATGGTTCACATCTTCCACTGCTCGACCGGGCAAACGCTGAGGATGGGCACTCCAGGACTGGTTTTCGAAAACAGCGATCGAGCCATGGGTGAAGTAGTGGCTTTATTTGGTGATGAACTCACAATAATGATAAGGTTTAATATGTTTTATACCAATAATAGAGCCAATGAAATGGTTCTTTAATATGTTGTATACCAATAGATACCAATTATAATATGTTCTTTAATGATAAGGTTTAATATGGGGATGGGTCAAAACCCTGGTACCGTGCCGTGAACCCCAAGTCATAGCTGGGTTAAAATGGATGTGAATAACCCACTAAAAATGGTATTAATAGGTATTGACCCATACCCATATGTTCTTTAATGATTAATGTTTTTTGTTAATATGTTTTATATGGGTTTATATGGATTAGTAGGGATAATCGTGGAATTGCAAAGGGATATTAATAGATACTCACGGGAGAATAATAGGACATATAATCAGGAACCCTTTAATAGCAATTAACACATACTAAACCTACTTGATAGAAATAACATGAAATAGATTGAAATAGATAAACAATGCATTACAATGTTTAAAGCTAATCAACAACAGTTTGCAATGACATGTTGTATAACTTATTGTATATGTATATATATATATATGTATGTCAGATAAACAAGTGAGGATTCCTGTGAGGATATTCACTTTCATTTCGTAAATGAAGATGTCCTATAATCATTAACACCTTTCCTTGACAGGGATGCACCAAGTTATATCCCTACTTCTTGAGCTTAGAATCCATAGTTATCAATGAATACACACTGGCTCGAACATGAAGAATTCACCAACCTGAAATGTCTGTGTGTTTAATATTAATGGGATGAACTATGGATAATATATGATAATATCATATAATATCTATTGTGCGTGTTGGTGTGTCATCCCTATTAATTTCATGGTATCACTATTAGTTACATTCCATTATCCATCAATCATCATATCAAGACATAAATTGACTCACTAATGGCCATGCTAACCATTATGACTAGTCAATAGATGTAACTATTATTCATGACTAATTCTGAAAAAGTGATCTGGTTATATAAGCCATCACCTAGATCTAAACCATTCCATCAATGAGTCATTAAAAAATATTATATCCTATGGTTAACATCACTAATCACTAATGGATGATTAATATTCAACTAATCACTAATGTTAATAGATGTTATACTAGACTTAAATATATAAACATTAGTGATATTTATATATATATATTAATCATGTTAAATCACTCATGTCAACCATCCTGGTGACTTTGGGGCGCCTCGAGCTTGGAATAGTCTGGAGGCCTCTCTTGTGTTTCTCGTGCCTGGAGATCGTGGCTCACTACCCACGAATCGTAAGTGGGTGAAAAAAACCCAGTGATTGATGTGGATTAACCCTACAAAAATCCCATATAAATCACTGGGGTTATATCCCATTTATAACTGGGGTTAACCCACTTACGATTCGTGGGATGAGTCTCGTGCCTGGAGATCGTGAAGACTTCACCGGTGGTTTACGCAACACTTGGGGATTTCACTCTGGATTTGATACAGGAGATGGCTGGCTCGGATGTGGGATTTATATCATGAGATGTTGCAACATCGATACGGATACTTAACAATTTACCAACATTCACCCACCTGAATTCAAGCCCTTTTTGGATATTTGCCCCAACTTTTTATCATTATTTCTAGCGATGTCGCAACATAAGGTCGAAACATAATCCAACAAAACATGGGCATTGCACTGACAAACTCGTCGAGATTATCTGGTCTTCTGGTGAAGTCCACTCGTTGCGTAGCTCTACCAATACTACCCATGACTCACATGACTGTGTATAAGCACTGGCAATGCCATAAATCCACCTACCATTTGGATGGTGTTTACAACCCATTTATGGAAAATTGGAGATTACTTGTTCTTGGGTTTACACATCATAAGCTTCGGTCACTTTTTATGAAGAACTGTATGTAGTCTGAAAAACATATGGGACACCATACTGTACCATGGTCACAGATGAAAATTGCAAAATATTGCAAACTGAACTTACTATTGGATAGTACCTCGCCATAAATGTGGTCATTCAATTTTCATAGCAATTCACTTTGATACTGTGGTCTGCATCCCTGGAGGTCACCTGCTGCAGGTGTCGCCCTTGGGAATGTGGTAAATCACCAGAATGTCAGCATATTTAACAGGTAAAATCGTCTATACATGCGTAGCTTTCCATGGGTATAATCAAACATATGACTAGCTGGGAAATCCCCAATCAATGGACATTTAAATGGGCAAATCATCTTTAGATGGGCCATGGAACTCCGAATATGTTCCATGGCAAAATTCTTCGGTACCCTAAGTGTTGGACCGCTACACATAGGTCATGGATCCACCAAAAATCCATTGATCTTCATTCTGTTCCAATCAGTTTGTTTTGATTCTGATCTCATCTTGCTACCCATCTTTAGATGAAATCCTCAGATATGTTGGTAAAATCCAAGAATAATCGCAGGAACGACCCCTGCAGCCCTGCAGCTAACGGCACCATGCCTGAGAATGCTTGGGGATGGCTGCCAAAATGCTTGGCATTTGCATCTGGCGACACAGAAAAAGTCACGAAGCGTAACGAAACGGGGGAGGTTGGATGCTCAACATGTAAAAGGATGGGTAATATATTCAATACATTACATCTGCCTAAAGAGCATGTAATTTCTATAGATAATCAGACAACTATGACTATGTATATATGTATATATACGTACGTACACATATCTCTATATATATATATACACTACATACAAATAGACTAATGGAAAATCAAGCATTCATCTTCCAAGGTCGTCCATATCTTTCTCTGCTATTTTACCAAATGTATATCCATAAAAATAATGGTCCCAAATATCATGTCAAGTCGGTAACATATCAACTTCTATCCCATGATAACCACCATGCTAGTTGGTCAGTTTACCCAGACTAAAACTCATTGTCCTATAGTTTTCCTATAAATTCCAGCGAATGTAAACATGACTTTGAAACCCTTCGTCATCCCAAAAAAAACTGCTTGGTTTTTCGAATGTTCTCGAGTGGGTGATATCGTGATCCGCGTAATGATGGGTAATGTACCCATGATCCCATGATAGAGGTAAATACCTAGCAAACATTGAAAAAAACCATTGCCATTTGAAGTTTTTTTTTTCGTGGAAGTTACCACCTATTGAAAATAACCAACCAACCCATTACTAACTTACTCCCAAAAATCTCCAACCCCCCTCTTACTATTTCATGACTAGCTGACCATCATTGAACCCGCCATGAATTCAGCCCAGTTGGATTAAGGGATGACCAGAACCATAAACTGTCCATGACCATCGTAACGTGCAGTAACCCAACTTTTGACCAACATGGTCATTAATGATGTCATATGTAATGTGATGTACCAAATGTTGACATGTTTTGGTCTATATACCATTTTTTTGGCTTGTTTCTACGTTCATATTATGCATTCATTGGATATGTGAAGTTTCAAAAAAGGTATGACCCACAAGTTTCAAAAAAAGTCGCATAAGATTCTAATCATCCAGTAGTCATGGGATCATCATAATTGGGTACCTGTTCAACAGGATGATTAACGGTCGATTGATTTTTGTTGTGAATGTGGCTGAACTATCATGACTAACTAACCTGAAAATAGCTGAAAACACACAGACGTTGATTTCGGGATCATTCCCCGAAACCGATGCCCATCATTCCAGAATTCCGAGCCGATTTGAGGTCGTTTTTTCAAATTCATCCAGAATAAATGGACATATACCCTCACTCGTAAACTTCGTAAACTCTATAACATGTAAAGAATCCACTATTTGGAGATCATGTTCCGAACGGGTTTCCCCATTGGTTTTCCACATCTATGTAAACGTTTACCCCAGGGTATTCACATTTTAAAAAAACATTTAAATAATATGAAAATCCATGATATCATTAAATCCCACTAAAGGATGCCCTTTTTATGGTACCCTGGCGGCCCACCAGAGTTGAGGAGAGCAATCGAGGACGCAGGATCCGTAGCAAGGGAATCAGATCCACCCGGAGTTTACCTCGGAGCTCGCGACAGACGGGGCTTGGCCCTGACCATGATCCAACTAGCAAGGTTATAGCATGTTATACTGGTTGGTGGTATACCAACCCCTCTGAAAAATATGAAAGTCAATGGGAAGGATTATCCCATATATGAAATGGAAAAAATTAAAAATGTTTGAAACCACCAACCAGTATAGTATCCCCAACAGATACTTTGTATATACAGATTTATACTTGAAAGTGATGTGAAGAAAACACAAAAAACAGATTTTTTGTTGATTTGTTGCTTCTATATCCCATTACATCCCCATTAAAATTATTTAAAATCCAGAGAAACATCCTATAACATCACAATCTTTGCTGCTTAAATCACCATTTTTGCTTGATAAGTTCGGGGATTCAATCCAAGGGGTTTTGATATCATCTTTATGCAGAAAATGTTGGGATTTTATATGGGTGTGAAATAGTTTTAGGATTTTTTTTTTGAGCAGGTTTGGGAATTTTTTTGGGATTTCTTGGCTGGTACCATTTGCCTAGTGTTTGCAACGGTTTGGAACTTGAATTTGTCATTTTGCATGGTATTTGCCACATTTGGGTATGTTCACCTTCCATTTTGCATGGGATTTACTACATGTGGGCATGTGCACCTTCCATTTTGTATGGTATTTGCCACATTTTGGCATGTTCACCTTCCATTTTGCATGGGATTTCCTACATGTGGGCATGTTCACCTTCCATACAATTTGCCACATTTTGGCATGTTCACCTTCCATTTTGCATGGGATGTTCTACATGTGAGCATGTTCACCCAAATATTTACAGATGCGGAAGCTTGGGATTAGATAAAAAGCGGGTGGGGGGGATTGAGGGAGGACGCTAGCTATCTATCCAGCTAGCTAGCTATCTAGCTATCTAGCTAGCTACCTATCTAGCAAGCTAGCTATCTATCTAGCAAGCTATCTATCTATCTAGCTATCTATCTACCTATCTAGCTAGCTATCTTGCTAGCTATCTATCTACCTATCTAGCTATCAAGCTAACTATCTATCTAGCTATCTAGCTATCTAGCTTTCTATCTATCTAGCTATCTATCTATCTAGCCATCCAGCTGTCTATCCAGCTATCTAGCTATCGAGCTATCTAGCTAACTATCTATCTAGCTATCTAGCTATCTAGCTTTCTATCTATCTAGCTATCTATCTATCTAGCCATCCAGCTGTCTATCCAGCTATCTAGCTATCGAGCTATCTATCTAGCTATCTATCTATCTATCTAGCTAACTATCTACCTATCTAGCTATCTATCTATCTATCTATCTATCTATCTAGCTATCTATCTATCTATTCTATCTAGCTATCTATCTATCTAGCTATCTATCTAGCCATCTATCTATCTAGCTATCTATCTAGCCATCTATCTATCGAGGTATCTAGCTATCTATCTCTCTAGCTATCTATCTATCTAGCTGGCTATCTATCTATCTAGCTATCTATCTCTATCTATCTATCCAGCTATCTATCTATCTATCTATCTATCTATCTATCTATCTATCTAGCTATCTAGCTATCTATCTATCTATCTATCTATCTATCTATCTATCTATCTATCTATCACATGTAATCCTGTCAGCTTTCCAGAGAAGGTTAGTTCGCAAAAACCAACTAATGTAACTTGGGTTTAAGTTTAAATTAAAAAAAAGCGGGAGGGGGGGATTGGGGGGAGGCGCTCCCCCCAAAGCAGAATGCAAGCACCTCTTCTCACATGTTACGTTGCTAGTTTTCAAGAGAAGGTTGGTCATGTGATACTCAGGGATGTAAATACTGTGCAAAATGCATCTTACATGAAAATCAAGTATTTAAAGCAGGCAAAGCAAAAAAAAAAGCAGAGAAGCAAAAAAGCAAAAGAAGCAGAGAAGCAAAGAAACAGGAAACGCACAAAAGCAAAACAGCAGAAAGGCAAAGAAGCAGGAAAAGCAGAAAAGCAGAGAAGCAGGAAAAGCAGGAAAAGCAGAGAAGCAAAGAAACAGGAAAAACAGAAAAGCAAAAAAGCAGCAGAGAAGCAGAGAAGCAGGAGAAGCAGAAAAGCAAAAAAGCAGAAAAGGCGAGAAGCAGGAGAAGCAGAAAAGCAAAAAAGCAGAAAAGCAGAGAAGCAGGAAAAGCAGAAAAGCAGGAAAAGCAGGAAAGCAGAGAAGCAGGAAAAGCAGGAAAAGCAGAGAAGCAGGAATCCAAAAATAATTCCTAAACCTGATCAAAAAAAAATCCTAAAATAATTAGCCCTCCATTTTATATGGATATTATGGGATGTTTGCTTACCCTCTGGTAAACTAACATAACTATATGGAAAATCACCATGCTAATGGGAAAACTCACTATTTCGACTGGGCCATGTTCTATGTCGCAAACTGTTAGTTTACCAGAGGGTAAATCATCTGTTTGCTCAACAATCCATAAACTCCCAACAGATGTCGACCATTGTCGACCCACCCATGGCGCCACGGCACATTTCCGCCCCGCAGCAGCATCGGTGCCGACGTTGTCATCCAGGTCCCAAAGCAGCGGCGCTTCGACGTCGACGTCGTCGAGGAGACCGGACTCCGCCAT